CGGCTCCCCACTTATGCAAATGAAGCCCGGGAAATTCAAATCCCGGGCTTCATTTGCAAGTGCGGTATGCCTACATTACCCCGCTAGTTCGAACTAGGAGGGTAGTGTAGACATACCCCTAGTCTTTACAACATCCACTGGCAAGAAGTTCCACAGGTTGACTGTGCGAAGAATGAAAAAAATCCTTTTGTTTGTTTTAAACCGGCTGCCTCTTCATTTCATTTGGTGACCCCGCCGAGTTCTTATATCATGGGAACAAGTCAATAACTTTTCCTTATTCACTTTTTCCACACCAGTCGTGATTTCATAGGCCTCTATCATATCCCCCCCTAATCTCCTCTTTTCTAAAATGAAAAGGCCAAGTCTCTTTAATCTCTCTTCCTATGGGACCTGTTCCAAATCCCTGATCCTTTGTGTTGCCCTTTTCTGAACCTTTTCCAATGCCAAGAGATCTTTCTTGAGATGAGGCCACCCTGTCTATATGCCCACCATGTGGGCGTACCCTGGTAGTTCGGGTTCTGTAGTTTAAGTATTGCTCTTTTAAGACTTCTGGAAGCTGGTGCCACATCTTCTCCCTTAGCTGTTGGAAAGCGCTTCAGATTCTTAAACCTTGGGTTGAGTGTTGTAAGGCTCTTTAGAAATGTCACCTTGATACCTGCTGTGTGTTTTTAGGTCCACTGGAATGACGGCTGAAGCTGAAAGGGCATACAAATCTTTAGCATATCTGGCATGTAAATACCTTGCAATGCCTGCTACAGACGTTCCCGTGGCACTTTTGTTCTCACTTTTAGGTGACATTGCCTATAAGCTGCCTGCTTATTGTCTCCTGTAAATGTAAACTAACTCTGAGCAATTGGCTAAGCAAGAATTAGGACTGGGTGTACTTGTAGGTGCTAAAGTTTTACATTGTTTTGTCTTTTTATGCAGTTAGTGCAACTCACACATGACAGTATTTGTAGGAGATAACTGAAAAATACTATTATAATTTTATAGTTCAAATATTTATAAAACAAATATAAACTGAGCACTGTACACTTTGTGTTCTGTGTTGTAACTGAAAAAGTAGAAAACAAATTCCAAAAATATGTAATAAATATTTCAATTGGTATACTATTTTTTAGCAGAGCAATTAAAACTGCAATTAATCATGACAGTTTTAATCACAATTGACAGCCTTAAATAGTAGGGCTGTGTCTAGACTGGCAAGTTTTTCCGGAAAATCAGCAGCTTTTCCGGAAAAACTTGCCAGCTGTCTACACTGGCTACTTGAATTTCTGGAAAAGCACTGACGATCTCATGTAAGATCATCAGTGCTTTTCCGGAAATACTATGCTGCTCCTGTTCAGGCAAAAGTATTTTTCCAAAAGACTTTTGCGCAAAAGGGCCAGTGTAGACAGCATAGTACTGTTTTCCGCAAAAAAATCCCTGATCGCGAAAATGGTGATTGGGGCTTTTTTGCGGAAAAGCGCTTCTAGATTGGCCACGGACGCTTTTCCGCAAAAAGTGCTTTTGCGGAAAAGCATCCTGCCAATCTAGAGGCGCTTTTCCGAAAATGCTTTTAACGGAAAAGTTTTCCGTTAAAAGCATTTTCGGAAAATCATGCCAGTGTAGACGTAGCCTAATTCTAGAGCCCAAAGTGGCCTGTAGAATCCAGCTCACTTCTGCTAAGTATCCCATAATCCCTTGCGTTTCTTGGAGGAAGAAAGACACTCCCCACATTGCCCTTGCACACCAGAGCCTAGTGGGGCCTAGGCTAGTAGAGTGTGTGCTCCAGCCCCGTGGAGGGGGGGCTGGAGCACCAGCATGGGCTCCCCAATGCTGGGGTGGGGGAGGAGCCCAGAGCCTTGGGGGCTGAATCCAGGCAAGCCAGGGGCCACATCTGGCCCCTGGGCCTTAAGCAAATAGGGAAGCTGTAAAGGCAAGGACAGGTGACAGCTTCACCATAGCACAGGAGCTGCTCCGAAAGGCCTGCACAGTAATGCTTCTACGAAAGGGGACAACACATGATGTTCTGCCCCTGTGCATACCCTGGAGGTGCCTGTATACCCTTGGTCTCTGGAACACAACAAACAGATAAGGGGTATCTTGTGGTACCAGGAGAACAAGGTAGAAAGCTGACTTGTTAAAACTCATTTCAGAACCTTTTACTTGGAAGCAGGCGGGGTGTAAGAGGAGGACTTTAGTGGTGTAACTCTGGGGCTGTGTCTAGACTGGCAAGTTTTTCCGGAAAATCATCTGCTTTTCCGGAAAAACTTGCCAGCTGTCTACACTGGCCACTTGAATTTCCGCAAAAGCACTGACGATCTCATGTAAAATCATCAGTGCTCTTCCGGAAAAACTATGCTGCTCCCGTTCGGGCAAAAGTCTTTTTCCGAAAGACTTCTGCGCAAAAGGGCCAGTGTAGACAGCACAGTACTGTTTTCCGCAAAAAAAGCCCCGATCGTGAAAAAGGCGATTGGGGCTTTTTTGCGGAAAACCGCGTCTAGATTGGCCACGGACGCTTTTCTGCAAAAAGTGCTTTTGTGGAAAAGCATCCTGCCAATCTAGAGGCGCTTTTCCGAAAATGCTTTTAACGGAAAACTTTTCCGTTAAAAGCATTTTCGGAAATTCATGCCAGTGTAGACGTAGCCTGGGAGCACATCGTCCACACCAGGTGAGCAGAACACTCAACGAAATGGCTGTCTGGAACTGGGTAGCCTGGCTTTCAGCAACAGACCTCACAAATGGTGGTTATTTGGTCTCTTGAATCTACTTCATCACAAGTGTAGCCAAGCAACTGCGTATGCAATTGAATAATCCCTGCAGATAAATGGGGACAGAGGGGCTTTGCCACATAGGAGAAAGCTCTGTCTATCTGACAGTGGTATTTGAACAAAACACAGCCCAATGGGCTGCTTCACCTAAGTAAGGTTACATGCATCTTAGCGCTTGCAGGGTCAGGGCCTCAGCGGTGAATCTTGCAAGCTAAAAGGGAACCCTAGACTCACATATGCTCATCCCTGCAGATAAATGGGGACAGAGGGGCTTTGCCACATAGGAGAAAGCTCTGTCTATCTGACAGTGGTATTTGAACAAAACACAGCCCAATGGGCTGCTTCACCTAAGTAAGGTTACATGCATCTTAGCGCTTGCAGGGTCAGGGCCTCAGCGGTGAATCTTGCAAGCTAAAAGGGAACCCTAGACTCACATATGCTCAGC